TGGATGTCTCTGGCCAGATGCCATCAACACTAACTTGACCAGTCATTTCATCATGAAACTTTCAAGCTGTTGGTAAACTTCTCTGACAAACCAACTTATATTGTAGTTGTCAGCACAGATTATTTGCTGTTAGCAAACATTGTAGTAGATTAATGATTTTACAATGTTGACAGGTGAAAGGATGCAACATCCTTGTCCATGGTAAAATGGCACCACTGAAACTAAGAGACAACCTTGACAATCATAATGTGAGCTATTCTTGATTTTTCAAAAATCAGTAAAATATGCTTATCATTCAATGTAAGTCAACAAATATTTAATGAGGAGACTTTAGTAGATAAAATCAGCAGGATCTTTACCCTCAGGTACCTTCCTATTTAACCTATGAAGGGAACTAGAATGTAACATTTACAAGATTGATAAATAGTAACTACCATAATTAGTTTTCCCTATCCTATATAATAAAAGCCTAATATGCTAATTGACCATACAGCAGAACAATGGCCTGTCGCTATGACATGCATTAACCATCGGGGGCAGACACTCAATGCAGGAGCTGCCTCCAGCCTGCATGCCCCAGGCTAGCCAAGGCAGGTGCCAGTATGGACCCCTCAATTGCCCCGCCGGTCACCTCACAGATTGGCCCTGATTGCCAGCCAGGCCTAGGGCCCTTACCCATGCACAAATTTCATGCATTGGGCCCCTACCTCTTACAATAAAAGCCTCATAATTAAAATTTTGATAACCAGCTATAAGCTCATGCATTTATTCTCATCTCCTGTTCCTCCTTCTCTCCCTTTTCCTCCTCTTCTTCCATCTCCTTTCTCACTCCCACCCACCACTTTTTGCTCTTTTCTTCCTGGACCATATACCTTCACTACATTTCTGGAACCTGTCTCTGCCCTTTTTTACCTTGTTCTTGGCTTAGAAGACAGCCCCTAAATGGACCAATAGACTTACCTGCTCTCTATTTTCCATATAGGTTTGGCCAACAGGAAGCCAACCCAGGAATGGAAAGCAGGAAATAGATTGAACGCAGGGCATTTTGAGGTCAGTTCCTTTCTTTATCCCTTTCTGCCTAGCATGATAACAGCCCCAGAGCAGAGTGAGACTATGCCTTTGAACACAGTTATTTAATGTCAGCCTCCTCTTGCATCGTCCTCATCTGAGTGCTCTGTTTTCTGCAGGGAAACAGAAAATTCCAGCTTCCGCTATGAGAAATCCTTACCACTTAGTCCTCTCTCTCCCTTGTATTAGCTTTACCTCTGGGTCATTTGTCTTTTCTTTAGGGCAAACCGTATCAAATTTTGGAAATAAAAGAAAACAAAGCAAACAAAAACTAGCTCTGCAAGTAAGCATTTCCCCGAGACTCCTCATTTGACTCACTGGCCGGTGGGTCCTTGGAATTGTTGCCTCTGCCTCTGTGCGTTTGCTTTGGTGAGGCCTGGCAGAAGGTACTGTCTTTGGAGAGTCAGTGAGAGGGAAGAGGCAAAGGTAAACGCAGAGAAAACAGGAGAAGTACTAGAGATGAAACTCTTCCATAAGAAATGAATTCCTGTTTCATTGGTAAAAATGCCTGTGCTCACCCCTGGGCCAGAGAAGGAAAGATGGAAGGAGGAACAGTAAGGGGACAGTAAAATCTGTGAATGTGGCAGGAGAGGGTAGCTCTTTTCCACAGTTGAAATTGAAAAATTAGGATGTAGTTTCCTTTAATAAGACAGTTAATCATTGGATTCATTTTGGGAGAAAACTAAAAAAATAATTAAAATAATTATTTAAAATAATTTATAACTTTTCTGTTTTAATTTCCTTTTTGTAGGACATTACTGCATACAGTGGGAACATTACATCACTGCAATGCTAAATGATAAATTTTTGTAAGAAGAAATATTGTTAATTTTATTAAAACTACACACACACACACACACACACACACACACACACACACACAAGATAATGCAATTGCATATAAGGCCACTTACTCATTGTGCCATTAGTAGTGGCCACAAAATAAAACTATATGTGCATTTTAAATGTATGTGGAATTTCACATCTATAATGGACCTCTTTGCAGACTCTGAAACAGTCAAAACCTTTTTGTATATGTTGCAGGATCACTCTGAACTAACCAGTAGTCACATTCCACTATAAAAAATAGAAACAGTCTCTTCCCATCAAAGATGCAGATGCCAATTGAACAAACCAGTACTTTATTATAGATAAAAATTTGATGCCATCATTTCTGTTATCATTTTTATTAAAACAACAAATGCCTTTAATAAAACATTCAAGTAGTAGAGTGTATTGCATTCTATATGGCCACAGATATGTTACTGCTCTCTCATGAAGAAATGTAGTCTTACAGCTAAGTATGAGAATTTCTCCGTTCTCATGCACTTCCCTTTACTATTTTATGCACATTTTCTCCTCATTTTCAAAACACTGTACCAATATACAAAGAAAAATAGAAGAAAGTAAATGTTAACCAAATATCTTAAGGGCAAATTCCCCCAGCAAAGGTCAATGGCAGACATTACCAATGAAGTTTAATAAAAGGGTTGACTACATGAAAAATAAAAAGGAAAGAAAAAATAGAGTCAAATTCCCCATTCTTTAAATCTGGGCTGGTCTTGATACTTGCTTTATCCAATAAAATACAGCAAAAGTGATTCTGGGTGACTATCAAGCTTTGGCTTCAAGAGGGCCTGCAATTTTCTTTCTTTCTTTCTTTTCTCCCCCGCTTTTGGAAAACTGTTGCCTTTGAGCAAACCAAGAGAGAGATCACATGGAGACAGAAGCTTAGCCATCTCAGCCATCTCAGCTGAGAGCTCAGACATGAGAGTGAGGTCATTCTGGACTAGCCAGTCCCTAACTAGCCCTCCAATTATAAACAGAGAAGTGAACCTAGACATGACATAGTATAATGACAAGCCATCCCAACTGAATCTTGACAAAATTGTTAACCACAGAATTGTAAGCAAATAAGTGGTGTTTGTTTGAAGTCACCAAGCTTCAGGGTGCTTTGTTAGACAGCAGTAGACAACTAATACAGATAGAGAAGCACAAGACAATAGGTAACAATTTTCCTTACACAGATTCTCCCTACCTCATTTCCCAGAAATTATCACTGTTGCCATTTTTTGTTGTTGTTCATCCTTCCTTATAGTTTATGTGCTTGGGTCACTGGGTAGAGAGAAGATGAGTGAATATATAGGTAGGGAGTTAGATAGATAGTTACATGGATGATAGATAGATGATAAATGATAGATAGATGATAGATAGATAGCTTTCATAACTGTCACTCAATAAGATACTCTTCTTTTTTGCTTTAAGTACCAATATATCTTAGACAATTTTTCATACCAATACATAAATGCATTCCTCAATCTTTTCAATAACTATGTAATAATAATGTTACTATATAATACTTTATTAACACCTCCTTATTGATAGACAGTGAGGTGGTTTACATTTTTTTCTCCATACAAAATATTACTGCAACTAATATTACCACAGCCCCCTTTTTTATTTTAAACTTGTGCATATCTGAAGGGAAACAGACTATACATATAATTTCTGGGTAGAAGATATTTACCTTTCAAACCTAAAATAAAAAGTTTAAAATTGTGATTCTAAAAATTAGTACCCATTTTGTTTATTTTCCCCTGAAATTTGTGGGTTTTCTGACTGTTGTTGTCCAACTTGCATGGGGAAGCATACGCTTGCTTCCAAGGTCTCTGTGTTTCAAACCTCGTTGATAATTGTGGAGATGACTTTCTATGCAACCTGAGCACGACCTCCACTCTGAGAAGCTTATATGTTCACTTTTTGTGTATTTGGAACAACAGTGTACCTCGTGCAGCTGATCCATTTAAAACTGCATGTGGAGTGAGTGTAATTCACATCAGTACCCTGGAATCTGCTGATGGCCAGGGAAAAGTTCAGCGTTCTGCCAAGTCCATGCAGCTGAAAGCCAATCAGCCTGCCGTCATTTTCACTGAGCTCTAATGAGATAGTACATTATGAAAAATAACAAAAAATGAATTCAAGGGGGTAGAAACATGTAGGAATATCTGAGTAAAATAAATAAACGAAGACTGGGTTTACTGGAGAACTGTGAAGCTGGCACAAACAATAGTCTTAAACTTTTCTTGAGGGGAAAGAACCGTATTCACTCTACACTAAATACAGCATATAAAACAGAAAACATGGTAACGCCTCTGAGATTTAAACTGCAGGTGTGTGGGTTCCTGCTGCTTCCCTTCCAGATGTGCTATCCATCAAAGAGCTACCCTGTTAACCTTGGTAGATAAGCTGGCTCTGTGAGACAGGGAGTAGTCACTTCCTTGGTTATCCAGGGATGCCTGGTATTCAGGCTAATGGGCCCCGTCAGTGGTCAGGTCTGAAATGCTCCTCACCAGACAAACCACTCCTCACAGAGTCCATGATTCACCAGGTCAGGAGCCTCAGAAGGCAGCTGCACAGGAGAGATGATTCTCTCAGTCTCGCTGCAGCTGCTCATCGCCTGTCCCCCCCCCGACCTTTTTTCCCCCCCCCCCCCCCGCCCCATTCACTTCCCACAGCTGCAGAAGGGGTTCAACGTAATTGTTGTCCAGGTGGATTTGTGGGCTACCTGCAGCCAGGAAGCAATACCATTATCTAGTTAAATTTATATTACCGGGACAAAAATTTAATTCCAACTATAAGGCCTTTATTTGTCTTTCAGTTGTTTGGCTACATTTTCCTGCCTCGGTACATGATCCAGGCTTGTGAGAAACCATGGCTAACTCGGTCAGTGGTAAACTATGCACATCACCAAGATATACAGGCAAAACAAATAAGTAGCAAACAATGTTACCTCTTTGATTAGATTTTGCTTAATTTGGAAAACACTAGAGTTATATCAACAAATGAAAATGTAAGTTAATCTAAAAACTGAAAGTACATATACAAGCATACCTTGTTTTATTGTGCTTCACTTTATTGTACTTCATAGATGTTGCATTTTTTACAAATTGAAGGCAATACCCTCCACCAGCAAAAAGATTATGACTCACTTTATTGCAGCGGTCTGGAACGTGAACCTGCAATATCTTAAGGTATGCCTGTAACTTCATCTTCTTTTTGACATTGTTTCATTAGAGTCAAGGGAGTAGCTAAAATAGTTCATTCTTTTTCTTCAAAACAAACATATCCTACACTGTATCAAGGGGTCAGTTTTAAATGAAACACCAAATATGCTCATATTCATAGGTATGGGGAAATATAAGGGCCTAAGTATTTAAGGTTAGCCTTAATATCATTTTAGTGAGAAGGTTTCTTTAAAATAATTTAAACAAAGATAGTAAGCACTTAATAAATGTAAGCAATATCCTAAACAGTAGTCTACGCATGTTTGTTATACCTTATTTGAAAAAACAACAATTCTATGAGTTCCATAATATTACCACCACACTAATTTAAGGAGATTCTAGTACCAAGGGATAAAGTAACATACTCAAGGTTGAAGAGCTAGTAAGTGTCAGTGGCAGAACTTAATGTATGCAATTGATTAATTTACAAATGGTGACTTGTTACAGACAAAAACCCAACATATGTAATGCTTTATAGCAATTGCAATAAACTTCCAAGTTCTTATCTAGTTTTCTCTTCAAAACCTCTTGGGTAACATTCAGAGCTGTTATCTCTGCCATTATGCAAATGAAATGGATGAGTTTTGGAAGACTGGCTTTCTCAAGGTTATGTAGTTAGTATATTGAGGTGTATTTGGCACCCAAATCTAGTTTTATTGAGATGATTTTTTCTAACCAATCCAATCACCATCTCCGGGGCATTAGATAGAAAGTAAATTAGAGCTAAAATATTACCAAGGAGATAAAAAATCAAATCATTGTAATCAATTGGCATATGATAAATTCTAAATGGTGAATGAAGGAAATATATTATTAATAGGAAGTTTATTTTGTTGATTTTATTCCCAGCAACAAGAATATGCCCTAACACCTAATAGATTCTTATATACTGGTTGAAAAGGTGAATGAATAAATTAATAAATCTATATATATAAAAGCCTAAGCAAATGTTTGACCGTATGAACTTTCGACCGGTTGCTATGATGCACACTGACCACCAGGGGGCTGACACTCAATGAAGGAGCTGCCCCCTGGTGGTCATTGCGCTCCCACAGCTGGAGCGCCACTCAGCTGACTGTTGGGCGTCAGATGCTGGGCTCATGGCTGGTGAGCACAGCTGTGACGGCGGGAGCCTTTCCCTCAGACACTCCCCCTGCACGATCCTCCCCGATCTGGGCCAGGACTGGGATTAGGACCGGCATCGGGACTGACTCAGTGTGAGCCTGCAGCTGCTTCTCCCTCATGGATGAGCTGGTATCGCCTTAAGATAGGCACGTAAAGACCACAGTAGAGCAGCAGCAAGCCTACCTAGCAGTGGCAGGTGCAATGGGGCCAGGATGAGCAGGAGCGGAGTGGTGCCAAAGCTGGCTTGGTCTCCTCCCCAGCTATCTGCAGCTTTCCACACTACTACATTCCTCAAGACATGTTGGACTGCCAGTTTAGGCCCAATTCCCACAGGCCACACCAAGAAATCCTTTTATTGTTTGGATTATTTTTATTGTTTTTATTTAAACCACAAATAAATTACTACCAATAAATTTAAACTTTAAATATGTAAAATTTAGTCTACTTTTGTTTGAAGTTAAGGAAAAAATATAATTTGAAATTTATATGTCCATACAGAATGACTTCTTGTGAGAAAGAAGTAGAATGACTCAGTACCAGATACATTAGCAGGTGTTAACAATTATACTGCCCTAAATTATCAGTAATCATTTTAAGCATTTATTTTTTTTCAAAATTAATCAATATCTTCATTCTGACCAAATCTCAAATATACATATATATGTATATATGTGTGTGTGTGTGTGTGTGTGTATACACAAAAGAGGCCTGGTGCATGAAATCCATGCACTCATGGGGAGGAGGGGTCCCTCAGCCCGGCCTGTGCCCACTCACGGTCCTGGAGCCCTTGGGGGATGTCCAACTGACAGCTTAGGCCCACTCCTCTAAGGTGGCAGTCGGACAAACTTAGCCCTGCCACGGAGGCAGGAGAGACTCCTGCCACCACCGTTGCACTCACCAGCCATGAGCCCAGCTTCTGGCTGAGCAGTGCTCACCTGGTGGGAGTTCACTGACCACCAGAGGGCAGCTCCTGCATTGAGTGTTTGCCCCTGATGGTCAGTATGCATCATAGCGACCGGTCATTCCACCGTTCGGTTGATTAGCATATTAGCCTTTTATTATATAGGATATATATTACAGATTCTCTCCAATTTAAAATGTAATAACTCTGCCCAAATGTTATACTTATAAAAACTCATACAGTAGTGCTCATGTGTTGACATGCCTAAAGTCACTGGATGGCTTGTTAAAACACAGATTAAGGGACCCTATCAGTAGGTCTGGGGCAGAGCCTGGGAATCTGAAATTCTAATGCATTTCCAGGAGATACTGCTACTGCCCATTTTAGGACTACAATTTGTGAATCACTGCTATAATAGAAAGCACAGCATTTCCTGTAAACAGCTTTTTAAAATTAAGCATAGAAGATGCCAAATGGTTACAGGTTCATAGCTCTTCTTAACCACCATCCTTCCTTTCCACATTAAATTTTACATTTGGCACATATGACTGGTCCATGTACCATAGGCCATTTGTTAGTAAGAATCAATAGATTTCCTAAGCATACACATTCCAGCACAGCTTCAGGGTTTTAGATTGAATGCAAAATAAATTCAGCTTATAATGCAGGATCCAATAATTATAACAACAGTTAAAGAAGTCAAAATGCTAAATCATTATGATTGGTTTTTCTGTCTAATTGAAAAATATATATATATAAGTAAAAGTGACCCAGAAAAGGTGCATTAGGTATTCTAGTGTTGGCAAATCAGTTTAACAGAAGATATTAACTATTTCAGTTTGCCTTTATCCACAGAGGTATTGTGTCTAAACATCGACTGCCACTGATAGCAACTGGATAGAAGTAACCCTTGAACATTTTACTTCATTTTTCAATGGCTTGCTTTTATTGTAGGTGCAGTGATTCCTCCATATACTGTAAAATATGTGAGACATATGCTATGTGACTATTAAATATTTGGCTTGTCCAAGTCAAATATAGTCCAGATAGCCAGTGTATCAAATAACATCTAAATAAGCAGCAGACATTACAACAGTCTGGTTTACTAAACAAGCCTGTGGAATAGGGGGAAAAAGGTTATGTTTCATTCAGTTTCAAATATAACCTCTGTAAGTCTAAAATTTAAAGAGTTCTCTGTGGCTCATACCTTACTCCTCTCTCTCTCCTATTCTATTCTCCATCATGGATTTGCGTCACCACAAACTCTTTGTACTGATTATTGCATTTTATATCCACCCTCCTTTTTTATTAAAGCAATGACAACAAGAACTATTTGGGAATGTTATAAAGTTGTAACACATCTATTTAGTGACTAGTGACTCAAAACTTTCCCTTTAAGAAAATTTCAACAGTTGCAATTTCATCCATTTAATCCACTGGCAAATAAGAAATAGCATTTCTATCTACAAAGCAATATTTTGAGAATTATGAGGTTAACACAGGTGAAGTCTATGTTGCTCTCCTAAAACTGATGCAAAATACTATAGGCCCTCACTAAGTATCATCCATAGGTTCTCGGAAACTGGTTTTAAGTGCAATGACATAAATAACCATTTTACCACAGGCTAACTGACACGAACAAGGGAAGTGTCTGGGCATATTTCTGGTCACATAGACATCATCAAACTGCTAAATAAACCCCTCAAACTCTTCTATTATGAAACATTGAAATACGTGTAAGCTATGCATGGAATAATGATGAATAAAACCACGTTAATGCTTTTCCAGCCCACGTATTTCAGTTCAGGAACTGGGGGTGGGGAGCCTTTAAAGGCATCTCAGGGTTAAAGGCAAGGAACCAACCCTGGACAGGACACCCTTCCACCACATTCTCTCTCTCTCTCTCTCTCTCTCTCTCACACACACACACACACACACACACACACACACTCAGACTGGGACAGTTTAAACACACCAGTTCACATAATGTGCACATCTTTGAGATATGGGAGGACACCAGAGTGTCTGAGAAAACTCACACAGACATCAGACATGAGGAGAATGTGCAAACACCATAAAGAGAGTGACTCAGGCCAAGAACCTTTTTCTTAAACAAGGCAATAATGAAATGACTTATTCAAGGATCTGCTGTAGATTATTTCAATGCACTTTACCTAATTTAGTTTCTCAAGTGTGCATTTCCTACTTTTGTAAGTTTTTACAATTGGATGATTGTGTTCTAATTATTTATATTACTTTTCTTCATTTGTCTTGTTAAAGTAATTTAGCATCTCAATCATTTGAGGCTTTCACTGATTTCTTTAATTTCATAACTCCCCTAATTTATTAATGAGCTTATTTTCTATCTCCTTTTTTACAGATATGTTTATAAAACCTCATCTTTTCTCCTCAATACCATTTTGGTTTCCACATCTTACACTCCTTTTTTTCCTTAATAACTTTCTGCATCATATTATGTTTCCTGCAATCCTTATTCAGTGAGATATATTTTTTTCTTGGTTCCTACCCCACTTTGATGACAAATCTTAAAACTCTGTGTGTGTGTGTGTGTGTGTGTGCATGCACGTAAGTCCTTAGGAAGGAGACATTTTAAACTAACTCAATTCACATGATATTATTAACATCATAGTCTCATCTTCTATCTCAAGCTATTATTCTCTGACTAGCATATATATCTATATGTTACTATTCTTTAGTATGCCATATTATTCATTTTGGGTTTGCTCATACATTCCTTGATATTCCATAATCTTATATGTTAAATATTTAAATGAAGTAATGAATTGAACCCCAATTATTTATTCACATACTTTAAGAAAACAAGAGCCAACACTATAAAAATATTAAAGACCATAGCTTGTAAGATTAATGGAACCTTTAAAATAGTCAGCTTCCTCACAGAAAGTAATTTAAACTCTAGCATATAATTTTGAAAATATAAATAATCTATGATTAGAAATAGACATAAGATAAAAAAATAAGTTGTTTGAGATCTTTCATCTTTAAATAACCTGTCATAGGGGTACTGGATCTAACGTACCATTAAGATATATGGCCAAACTTAGGTCACTTCTATGGGAGAGGTCTCAATCCAGTGTTATAAACAGGGTTATAATGAAATGACTTATTGAGGGACCATCACATGTAGTCTGCAGGGTGGCCCCTCCCTACTCCTGAACAGAAAACACTTGACCAAAGAACTGCCAAATCATAGGTTACCTAATTTCTATTTACTGATCCATCTATCTATCTATCTATCTATCTATCTATCTATCTATCTATCATCTATCGTCTATCATCTATCTAAACTAAAACAATGAAATACTGAAAGAGTACACATTGGTTTTCAATAGGTTAAGGGTGTGTGATATACCTTCTGTGAAAGACAGTCCTCAGGGCAAGCGTGAAATAAGCTTTAAAATATCTTGCAAGTGTGTCAGAGAGGAAAGCGAGAAATCTTCAGAAACACACTTTAGAAACTTATTAAGAAGCAGTAATGGTGGGACACTAAAGTAGATTTTCATGATTTCCTGCTGCTGAAATTGCTGGAATTATCTTAGACCTAGAATTTTTATCTACTTCTGGTACCTCTAAGGCCACATACCAATATATTTTGCAAGCTAAGATTGTAATTAGCTTCACATTTACCTCTATAATAAATGATCACCAACTTGAGCTACGTTGAGTGAGTTTCTTTCCCTTATAGCCAATGGAAGCCCAGCAAAAGTATTCATTCATAAGTACTTTTTTATCACCTGGAGTGTGCAGTGGACTATGATTGATGATATGGAATATATATGTATATTCAAAAATAAATTGTGCAGAATTTGAATCCTCAAGAAACTTGCCACCTAATAGAGGAAGAAAACTATAGAAATATCCTGAACTTAATATTAAACAAATCGTAAAACTCCTGAAAAAAGGAAAGGTCAAAGGTCACAATAAAAGGTTTCTTATTTTTCCTGTGTTATTATTTGTTGATTACACTTCATATACAGGGTGGTGCAAGAGTAGGTTTACAGTTGTGAATACCAAAGCAATTTACTGTTGAATTATTATTTATTCATTATTGTATTATTTTCCATATAAATTATAAACCTACTTTTGCTCCACCCTGTATGATAGCTAAAAGTAGTGCTTGATATTGAACACTGAACTAAGTAGAGAATAGAAAAAGTTATCAAGAAGGAAAATTTGATTTTCCTTTCATACTCAGTAGCTAAAAGTAATAGGAAACTGACTAGATAGCCTGATAGTGTGATTTTATTTTCTGGAAAATAAATATGATCACTGCCCCAATACAATTAATGGCAAACTACCTAAGTTTTACATCCTAAAAGTGTTACCTTTAAGTATTATATCATATTTTGTGAAGTGTATCTCTTTAAAAAATCAGCTTTCACAAAAATTTCTTTCACGAAACTAGAAAAAAGACTTTTGCTAAACATGGCAGTTGTTCAGAGCTTGCTATCGTCTATCTGCGGGCACTGCAGGAATTATCTGAAGCCATCACAGTCAT